CCCCAGGTCATCTTCCTGAACAGCCTGTTTGGGTACCTGGTGGTCCTCATCCTGGCCAAATGGGCCTCGGGCGTGACCACCGACCTGTACCATGTCATGATCTACATGTTCCTGCAGCCCGGCAACGTGGACTGCAGCGGGCAGTGCCCCGAAAACCACATGTACCGCGGCCAGGCCTTTGTTCAGGTCGTCCTGGTGCTGGCGGCACTCATCGCGGTGCCCTGGATGCTCCTGCCCAAGCCCCTGATCCTGCGCAAGCGCAGCCAGCGCCGGCAGTCCAGGGTGCGTCGTGGGCATGAGGGGGAGGGGAGGGAGTTTGAGGTCACTGACCCTCCGGGGATGTATGTCCCTGAGCAAAGGGCATCGGAATGGGAGATGTGGGTCCTCCTTGCCGGAGAGTTTGCCTGATCTGGGCATCAAAGGGGCTGTCAGTTTTGGGGATATGCGGTAGGCATCCTAGGTGCCAAAGGGCCTAGCACTCCCGCCCCGCTGCTCTTCCTGCCAGTTCCTTAACACCCACGAAACACCAAACCACCCACAGGATGCATCCTACGGCCTGCTGGCCCCCGAAGACAATGACTTCAGCTATGCCCGCTTCTCCGACGACGACCCCTCGGTCGCCGGCGGCGCCGAGCTGGGCCTGGAGGCGGGGCAGCAGCAGGGCGGGCATGCTGTGCCCGCTGGGCACGGCGCCTCCCATGGCTCCGAGGAGTTTGACTTTGGGGAGGTCATGGTGCACCAGGCCATCCACGCCATTGAGTTCGTGCTGGGCTCCGTCTCCAACACGGCATCCTACCTGCGCCTGTGGGCGCTGTCGCTGGCGCACTCCCAGCTCTCCGCCGTCTTCTACGACCGCGTGCTCATGGCCGCCATCAAGAGCGGCAACCCCATCGCCATCGTGATTGGTGCGGGGAGTTTTCGTTGCGTTGTGGATGGGAAGTGGGGTGGGTGGGTGATTTCAGGAGGTCTAGGATCTGCATTGGTCAGGGCAGCGCCCGGGGCATGCGCAGTCATCCTTTCCAGGGATCTGGCAGGACCGCACCCTGATGATGCACGCACCCATTCCCACAGGGTTCTATGTCTTCTTGGTGGCCACCATCTCCGTGCTGATGCTGATGGAGTCGCTGTCCGCCTTCTTGCATGCCCTTCGTCTGCACTGGGTGGAGTTCCAGAGCAAGCACTACTTTGGTGAGTAGATATGGAAGATGAGGGATTGTTAGGGTGGGGGGGGGAATGCGTGCATTGGCATGGCTGTTTCATGATGTGGCGTGCTTTCCTTCTGCAGTCTGGGGCCCTTTTCCCGCCGCATGGCGTGCCTCGGTGCTTGGCATGCGAGACATGGAGAGATCATGACAAGCATGTTTTAGCAAATTCCCTCTCCTTCCCTCCAATGCCTCAGGCGATGGGTACAAGTTTGCGCCCTTCTCGTTCGCGGAGATCGACAAGGTGGAGGAGTGAGCTTAACACCTTGAGGGCGCATGTCGCCACGAGGCTTGCAGGTACTGGCCATAAATTCTCGCTCCAGAATAGTTGCCCTGTGTGCTCAAGCATGCCTCGTGCGCTAAACCTGGCCTGCTGCTTTTGGTGTGTAACAAGCCTGGGACAGATACCGGGGCAAGTGCGGTGCAGTTCTAGGGATTCACAGCGCGGCGCCTTCGTCCCAGGAGGTTCTTGTGGGGACTCGGACATCAAGCATGCTTCTGTTCAGTGCTGACTAGCACCAGCGCCATCAAGGGCTCAGCCTTACAGCCTGTGTCATCAGAGGCACAGCTTCACAGCCAGCGCAAATCGTTCCTCTGCGTGAGCAGCGAGCCCAGTTGCTGCCGCAAGCTGGAAAGCTCGGCCGACAGCTGGTCCTGACGGCTCCCCATCTCCTTCAACAGTTCCTCCATGTGAATGCGCTGGGCCTGGGAAAGGATCGTGCAGAGGGGTAGGGTGAGGGGGAGTGGACGCGGGCGGCATTAACAAAGCGACGCTCCCTTATGGGACCGCCTCGAATACCTCCCCCTTTAGCCCAGCTGTCCACCCCACCTGGAACTGGTTGAGCATGTCGAGGTGCAGGGCCAGGAGGTCATCCCGAGACACGCTGGCTAGCGGGGGGGGCGGCTGCCTGCGCAGCGGCGACCCTGCTGCTGCGCCCTGTGCCGGTGCAGTCCCAAGGAGGGAGTCCTCCTCCATGGGCCGCACCGACTCGTTGCTGCCGTCGGGCGAGCCCGGGCCCTCGGCCGCCTCTCGCCCCGGTCGGAAGCTGCGCGGCGGCGAGTCGCGGGCCACAGCAGGTATCCGCCAGCCCTCCTGCGCCGTGTCCGCCCCCTTCTTCCCAGAGTCCGTCCCGGGCGATGACTTGGCGGGGGACGACAGGCGCGCGCCTGAGGGCGCGCGCTGCAGTGCTGGGTTGGCATTTGCGCTGGCCGTGCTCGACGTCGGCTCGGAGGTGTGCGGGCGCGGACCGTGCGCGCCGCCTGCCGATCCAGCGTCGCCGCCCTCTCTGGCTGCCTCCCGCCTGGGCCCCTCGCTCCACTCCCTCGCCGTGACCTGGGGCGCAGGCGTGGCAGCCGCCCGGTCCTGGCCGGCCTCGGTGCCCCACCGCGACCCGATCGCCAACGGCAGCCGCCTGCGAATGTCCTCGAGCGCAGCTGCCCCTGCGCTAGGCGCCGTGCTGCCTGCTGGGCCCACGCCATGCCTGAACCCCACAAAGGGCGTCACGTTCAGGCTTTCCGGATGGGCAAGCCCAGCCGCAGCCGCCCCGCTTGCCGCCCGGGCCCCCGCCGCCTCACGACACCGAGCCGCGTCCACCGCTCTGCTGGCCTCGGTGCCAGATGTGGCAGCATGGTCGGAGGGCCCCGTCGGCTGTCCTCCCACATGCCCCGCCCCACCGAGGTTGGCAAGTGTGCTGTGCGACGTACAGACCCCGGCCGCGGCAACGCTGTCAGCCGGCAGGCCAGGCAGCGCGTCTGGTCTCCGAGACGAGGGGCCAAGGGCAGTGCCAGACTGGCCAGCATTATTTGTCGGCGCTTTGCCGCTCGATGCGATATCGCTGGGCCGGGCAGAGCGGGTTTCCTGGCCAGCCCTCCCGTCATTGCCAGCCCGGGAGGGAGGGCTGTGGTAGCAGTGCTGCCAGTGCAGGCCGGTGATGGGCCGGCGTGAGCCCGAGGAAAGCGCGGCCAGGGGCCCAGCAGGGGCGCGGGGGTCATACAGGTACACGATGCCCTCTGTGAGTGCGGAGATGGTAGGACTTTCGTGGATGAAGGGTAGTCTCGAGTACATTGGAGGGGGAGTGCGGCGCCAGGTAGGGCATGAGGCTGGGCAGGGGAGCGCCCACACCCGCGCCACCTATGTCCTCATCGCCTGCCTGGCCACGCGATGCGTGCCCAGGGGAACGCATTGAGGTCCACTGCCATTGCCTCCCCCAAGGACACTCACAAGGACCCACCAACAAACCTGCGGTGCCAGCCGCAAAGATGGAGTGGTCCTCCTTCAAGTCAAAAGCGGTGAGCGGGGTGCCCAGTCTGACTAGGGCAGCAGGCTTTGAACCTGGAGTCCGTCGATCCTGCAGCGCACGTGCCGGGCCGGAAGGGTGCAATGTGGTGCTGCAAACACGGCAGCCGCATGGCCTATCTGGAGCCGTTGTAAGTTGCCAATAAGAAGAAGCATGAGACACTTGCTGCGCCAGGGGATGGTGTCTCTGCTTACTTTCCCCGCCTCGTACCCTTCACCCACGCTCACCAGGCACCACACGCTGCCATCCTTGGCGGCAGCGTACACGGAGCTCGGGTCGCCGGCTGGAGAGGACACGCTGCAGATCCCCCCACGGCCCAGCGCTTGGGAGGCGGCAACAGTCCGCCGGGAGGGCAGGTCCCACACGTTCAGGCTGCCGTCGGCGTGGCCCAGGGTCAGGCAAGCCGAGCTGGAGTCCAGGTGCATGCATGTGGCGGGCGCCATGCCAGGTTCCGGGGTCAGTTGGCCAACAGGCCGCAGGTCCCTGTCCAACAGCGTGGCCGAGGCTCCACTGGGAGTCGAGAGTCGAGGGGGGGAGTGTTTCCGTATCAGCAAAGGCTTGCGTTGGGGTGTGCAGGAGGCGGAGGAGGCTGGACCCCCCTCGCATTGGTCCCAAGGCTGACCGACCCCCATCTCTCACCCACAGACTGCCAGGAAGCGGTCAGCAGGGTGGTACTGCAGAGCCGCTATGGGCTCCGGGAGATGCACTGTGGTGCATGCCTGCAGGGACGGGAAGGGTGGGCGGGCGGGTGGTGGGAAGGGGACGGGCCGGGTCTTGGAAGGCACGGCTGGCGCGGCGTCACCCCAGTGAGCACTGGTGGGTGTGCGGCGCCAACAGCCCACGCTCCACCTGATGTGCCATCCAAAGCCAGCATGTACGAGCGAATGACAGGCGATCCTGTCGCCTACCTTGTTGGTCATGTCGTGCACGCCAATGGCGCCGCTCCTGCCTGCCACTGCCAGTCGTTTGGACCCGCTGGCCCACGCCAGGGCGGTGGGAGTGACGATCGCACTGGAGCCGGCAGGACGGTTCAGCACGCTCATGGCCTCGCCATTGCTGTACGACAGGGAGACGCTGCCATCGGCCCGTGCCCCCGCGACCACCTTGTTGTTCCGGTTCCACGCCACGACCTCCAGGGGCTGCTGACCAGGGTGACTGTTGGGCACAGGAGGGCTGGAGTTCACATTACTCACCCTCCATAGATGCAGGCTGGTGCCGGAGCACCCGGCCAGGAGCTCGGCGGGGTAGTCGCCCGTGCCCATCCCGGCAGTCCACGGGGCCGGGATCTGGGAACGATCTCAGCAAGCCCCGTCCCGTGCAGCGTCAAAATAGGACGTTAGTGGCATAGAAGGTTCAGGCAGCACAGCCATCGGGGAATCGACGACCTTGGGGTGGGAATTCTGTTGCTGCCTGGCGAACAGTCGTCGCGCGCAGGTTTGATTTTTGGATCTCGCGCCCTGCCAAGGCTAGATGCTGGTGATTGCGTGGAGTCGTGCAAGACCGCAGCAGACCCAGATCCTGAAGAAAATAAATATTTGGCAACTCTGCTGTGCAAATGGGGTGCCAATCCAAGACCCTTTTGGAACCAGTTTCTCCGGACATGTAAACCCCAATACCCTGGACCTGCAACAATACAGTGTTCAAGCACTGGGAAGCAGACAAGCTGCATAGGTCGAACGCAGCCTAAGAACAGAGATCTTGATGTATGCCTCATCCCTATCGTGTCCTGTTGACGCAGTTGCCTGTCTAAGCTGGAGGGCTGCTAACAGCAGCCAGGGCGATACCCAGACCAGGTCCTGACTGAGGTTGGGCGAATGATTTACTCGTCGTGTCTTGCACCGGTTTCATCGTTCTCTGTAAGGGTTGCGCGGATACATTCTTCAACCGTGCGCCAAAGGCGTCGAGTATGGAATCGCCGATATTAACGCGCCAATGGTCAGCACAGAGCATAGTAATTATGACGTAAACTTTCTTCCGAGGTACTTCCGGCCAGGTTCTCAACATTCTCACCTCAGAATACTAGTGCTCAGCCCGCTTCTCGACCCCTCCAAAGACATCTTCCGGCTAAATTTATTGCCAGCCACGCGCGCCCACAACCTATCTGGACCATCCGGCTCCGCAAACACTGGACACGCGTGACCGACTGGCCTCCGATATGACGCCGAGCCAGCACACACCACTCGCTCTCGACATGACAGCGCCCTGGCACAGGTGCGCAGCAGTATTGTGGTTTCATTCTAATGGACCTTGGCACTATGTTTCTTCGGCGCTGCGTGTGGTTTTCTCGGAGGGCCCGGCACAAGTGCTCTCCTCCCCAAGATTTTCCTCCGCTGGTGGGGCTTCCAGACTTTGCGGAGTCCCAGACTTCTGGCCAACCCGTCGGCCGTGCTCCCCTTCCCCACCGTGTTATTTTTTATGCTTTGTTTCCGATTCCGGGGGTGGAGCGGAGAGCCCCCATGGCGATCGATGAGGCAATATCTTCGGGAATGTGGGGGGCAGGTAACGTCATCCCCGAACACACCACCTTCCGCGTGTCGTGGGACTTTTGTCCTGCCTCCCCTTCCCATCCTTCTCTCATTCCGATACGCTTATGTATTCCTTCTACAAGGTCGAAATTGCACGGCCAAACTCTATGGTATCCTTCACCTTTCCCCCACTCTTGTCCCCATCGCCGTATTTTTACAGGACCGATGAGCCCACCTTGACAGGCGTGCGACCACACATGAAGCTCGTGGACCGGCCTGCCCCGGCCCTCTTCCAGACGTCGACAGAGACGAACGAGGATGATCCACCAGCCAAAAGATCTAGAAGACCGTCCACCCTGCACACTCCAAAGTATGTGGCCATGGACGATGGAGGGGACGACACCGACCCAGAGTTCAGGTACAGAATGGCGCCTCCTGCTTGAAAGGGGAAAGTAAGCCTGTGTGACAGTTGTTACATGGCCTGGAGTATACAATGCAGCATTTCTGTGCCAGCAGTGCATGTTTTGTCGTGACAGTTTCTGTGGTGGGCGTTCGCACTGCTGCCCCTCTAGCAGCTTCTCACGTGATTCTGCCCCCCCAACCACTTGCAGCCCTCGCACCACGCCTTCGTCTGCCCCGGCCCGCCGACCCCGCCAGGGTCTCGGCGTACGTGGAGGACCTTCCAAATATCGCGGCGTGGTCTGGCACAAGTCCAATTCCAAGTGGGAGGCTCGCATCTACGAGGGTGGCAAGCAGAAGTTTCTGGGCTACTACACCAGCGAGGAAGCTGCTGCCCATGCGTACGACACATATGCCGGTATGTTGGAGGGGTATGGGATTGCGACAGGCCCTGTGCACATTGCCTGCAGTCCAGTGGTCTCATGCGTAGGGAGGTGCAGAGATTTGGTGCTTTTCTCTTGCTTCATGACAATGGCTGCCCAGGTGTAGAGCCATGCAGTTTTCCACAATCCTTCGAGCATGTCTATTGACAATGTACCTCACTCCAAGCCAGCCTGTCCTGCTCAAATCTAAATCTCCTCCCTCCCTCCCACCATCGCCGCTGCAGTCCGCCTGCATGGCAACCTGCAGAAGCTCAACTTCCCGGAGCTCTACGCGTCAGGGGCAGAGGTCTACCACGACCCCGGCACGCCCCCCGTGCGCCACACAGCCCCTGGCCCGCGCGCGGCGAGCCCCCTGGCCCGCCCCCCGCCCTCCCCGCGCAAGGCGGGCAAGTCGCGGGTGCAGCCCGTGAAGGGCACCTCCCGCTTCAGGGGGGTGAGCTGGAACTCCAACTGCGCCAAGTGGCGGGCGCAGGTGTGGAAGGGCAGCGAGGTGCACCACCTGGGATACTTTGAGGGCGAGGAAGACGCTGCCCGCGCCTACGACGAGGCTGTCCTGCGCATCAGGTGTGTGCTGGCGCTGTTCGTGATCTGTAAAGCTGAGAGCATGTGTGTGGGAAGCTGTCGGTTGAGCTTCGAGATTCCATGCAATGATCAAGACTGCGCCCTCACCCCATCCCCTTCTCAACCCCGCCCCCGCCCCCGCCACCAGGGGTCCCGACGCCCCCACCAACTTCCCGCGCTCCCAGTACGGCGCCTTCCCCGTCCCGGGCGACCACGACTTCCAGGGCGGCGCCGCCATCGGCGCCTCCGGCTTCCGCGGCGTCAGCTGGTCTGATGCGCACCAGGCCTGGCTGGCGGAGCTGTGGAACGGCAGCCGCTTCCAGCTGCTGGGCAGCTTCCGGGACGAGGCCTCAGCCGCGCGCCGCTACGACGTGGCCTGCCTGGAGCTGAACGGCGCCGACGCGCTGACCAACTTTCCGCTGCAGAGCTACGAGGCGGAGCTGGCCGCGGTGGCGCTGCGCGCCATGGCCGCCGAGCCGGGGCCCCTGTGCCTGACCTCGGGCAGCGGCTGGACTCGGGAGGAGCTGGAGGGCGA